TGTTGTTGAAAATCTTAATTGCCAAATGTGGAAATTCTCCCATTAGTATTTTTTGAGTTAGCGCGGATACACATATACACACACACATCCACACACACACATCCACACACACACATCCACACGCACCGACAGACAGCATTCGGAAAATAGTTATAATGGATTCAGGAAGGTTCAAAACGTATATATCAATCAAAATCTCGAGGTCGAAAAAAAATCACGATTACTATACTTCCTTATATTAGGTATAAGAAAGTAAAAAGTTCTTATAACTCGTGAAGGGATGGAAATATCGAAGAAAGAAATAATATGACACCCTCTCACATCTCGTGTCGAATTTTTCAGCTTATTATCCTGTGGAAAAGTCTCAGTCCTTTCGGATGAAAAACAAACAAGTTTTGAAAAAAATCCTTTAAAAGATAAGATACATATTGGCTGGCCACAGGCGCTTATATTACTTGTTACGCCTCTACTGTAAAGACATAATTGGTTCCATGTTAAGGGCTACTCGGCGGTAAAGGTTTCAACCTTGTACTTAATGCCTTTCTGGGTTAAAAATTTTTGTTTCTAGATAGAATACCTCTATAAACACTCACTCTTCCTCGAGTGAGTGTTTATAATAAACTGACTTTATCAACCTTCGATATTACGGAATTCGCTAAAAAAATTACAAGGTAAGGTATATTGTGTCATAGATGCATGAACAGATTTACTCGCTGACGTCGTCAATACCTAAATTCAGATCTTTGATCTACTCATTTTAATACAAAATGCTAATTATCTCAGCTCCTATGGGAGAAACGTTCGCATGGATTTTCACTATTGTTTATAAAATAAGACTTTTGTATTTAACGATGTTTGAGCTTGTGTAGCAATAATAGTTAATGGCCTATAATTTTATCTACTTCAACTTTACAAAAAAGAATAGAGAATTTTTTTATTTATGATTTACAACTGATAATAAAATAGTTTAATAATAATGACGATGATACGGAAAAATTACTATATATCGATCGCATTACTAGTATCGTGTAATTCAGAATTCCTCTCTTGAAATATTATCCAAGATACGGGCTCTAGTAATAACATACTTATTCAAATATAAAAACACCCTTATAGACATTGAATATACTTATCAAACTAGATCTAGGCTAACCAGTCACCAAACACCAACATGTCAAAAATCAATTCGACAAAAAAAAACATTTATATCTTGCCGCACGGCTGTATAATTCATTACCCGAAAATATAAAAAATAGTAAATCTGTATTGCAAATTAGGAGAATACTTAATCAGCGCTAGTTGTTCAATATATACAAAACCTGATCGAAACGAAAATATAAAAAATAATATGTTTTCAAAAACTGATGGTTGTAAACTGTATTTAATTAATTTAGTAACACGTACGCTCTCTCAAACACACACACACACACCCATCCATATACGCACACACACATACACACAACAATTAACTCACCAAAATGTCATATAATTTTACCATACTATTCATATAAATTGCAAGTTATACTTATCAAACCCAGAAGTATATTTGTAAATTCTTCATGAAAAATCAATTATGTATTTATTATGCGTTTATTATGTGTGTATTGTTATTTTAATGCAACAATACATATTTTTGCAATTTTGTAAATTTTTATGCAAGTACTTTTAAAATTTTGTGCAAAATTTGTAATTTGTAATTTTCAAATAAACTATTTTTATTATTATTCTGTCAATATGGCGTCATGATTCAATAACAGAAAAATGGCGAATTTAATTCGAGTCACTTTGTAGTAGTATATATGTCAACAAATTATTTGTCACTTAATAGAGATGACCATCCAACATTATTTCCCTTCAAAGTTACATTTACCATAAAGTAGCAGATGCGACTAACGTTATAGTTAATGCCATTTGAAAAATTGTGACGGGAATTACAAAAATTTCACGTTGTAGTTATATTTATCAAGACGAATGACTTCATTATCTCGCTAACTTTAAAATGACGTGTATTATGCTGCTACGAAAAGGTTACTGCAAAGTTCCGTCTTATTGCAGCCATATTCACATATTGTTTTGTTACCTAGGCGTTGTTTTATATAAAACTTTATAAAAAATAGGAAGTTCATTTTTTTAATACCTACATAAAACAAAAGTGATTATGACTCATGTACTTCACGATCCTAACTTTTAAGTTGGTAGTGCTGGCTGATCCGATCTAGGTAAAGATAATTTTATTGATTGGGATTGGCTATACGCTAATAACTGACTAAACATCAGCAGGTATACGTGTTGTTAGCGAAAATCAAACAAAATGAAGATTAATTACCTTGAATATCAACAAAATTCATATTTGGCGAAAATCTCGATTTGTTAAAGTTGACACTTTTACCCATATTTTCTATCATCTCATCACTTTCACGCATCGGTAAATCTTGTAACTTCCTTGAGTTATTCATTTGTCTGATTTTCGCCAATTTGTTCAGTCCGCGAAATTTTAATTAATAATCAACAGTACATCAACAAAAAATGTATTCTTTACTTCATTATTTGTTGTTTTATCACACTGCAATGTCCGATTTTCCTGAGGATTTTCCTAACCTGGTTATTTATCTAGTTCAACGAATAAGGGTCGGTTCTGTATCAACCAAATAATTATTTAAATTGTTAACTTCACTTAACAACTGTACTTAACCTTTCTTTAAAAGGTCAATGAATGCCAAAAAAACTTGTTTTATTATTTTACTGCTCCCATGTTCGATCGGTTTAGAATAAGGAAGTGTTGATATAAATGTCTTAAAAGTATATATCACTTTATATTAGGTTTTCAACATATACATAACTTCGTAGTCATATTGAACTAGTGGGAGTAGTAAAAATCACTTTAAAGTCTCCTCGTTAGTGGAAATAACGTTATTTTTACTGATGTCAATAATATGTTACACAACTTTGAAGTTCCAAAAAATTTCCCTACAACGTTACAGGAATTTTAAATAGATGTTATCATTACTTTGAAGTGATTATATAATAACGCTGTGCAGTCGTCATTACTATAAATTTTCACTTTAAAGTTGAGAATCCTTTAAATAATGCAGAATACAATCCGCAACTTTGCACATATGCAGCAGTTACTTGAAGCTGTAATAACTATATAGTACCTGAATTCAGTAGAATCTACGTGATTGTTACTACACGGGCACACCGCAAGTTGAATTTAAATTAGGCTTAATGACATTCACTTATCTCGATTTATATTTTGCTAGAATTTCTTTGCATTGCAAATCTGAGCGATTTGATTGCCCATATCCTCTTGCTGGAGATCTAGCTGGTTCATATCGTCCATGGAAGACATCTTGTGTTTAATGATAAATTTGTTGAGTTTAAGTTTACGATCGGGACCAATGGATGCATAGAGCACGAAAGAACTACTGATTGTCTCTCTTTTGGAAAGTAGGTATCAATGGATTCGACAGGACTCAAACGGGATCACTGGTTGGTTTTCTTCTTCTGACTGTAGGGACCAATGGATTCGACAGGACTCGAATAAGACCACTGGTTGGTTTTCCTTCTTTGGACTGTGGATAACAATGGATTCGACAGAACTCGAACGGAACCACTGGTTGTGTTTTTTCTTTGGAATGTAAGGGCCAATAGATTCGACAGGACCCGAACGGGACCACTGGTTGATTTTTTTTGTCTTTTTGCTCGAAGGACCAATGTACCATCGTGATCAGTGGCTTCATAGTCGAAGAGACCACTGGCGAAAACGTAGAATAAGGGTGGTTTATATAGCAGTTTGGATTTTGGACTGTATTGTTTGTGATGGTTAATATTCCCTGGACGCAATATCACGTGTGCCATATACCTCAAAGAAGGAAACAACAATGCAGCCATGGACACGTGTTTCAGAGTTTCTGCTTCTCGTCAGTGTAGCGTGGCTAGGAAATTGGATTTATCTATTTATATGCCACTAGTTTCTGCTTTGTTCAAGTTTTCAACCCTCCTAGCCCTTTTAATTTTGTTTGTATCCACCAGATGGAAACGGACAGTATGCATAGGGCTCTATATGCCTACTACCCTCTTCAATGCTCCAAATGTGGCACATAGGAATCATGATGGCATTAATTGAGTACAGTATAATGTATTTTCTAACTTTGTGTTAGTTTTTGTTCCGTATATATCTCATCCATTCCAAGTCCATTGCTACGCTGTGCTGACGATGAGCAATAACTTAGAAACACGTATCCATGGTTGCATCATTGTTTCGTTTTTTGGGTATATACAACTAGATCCAGTTTTGTTTAGTTATGAAACTTACTATCCCTTTCTTCCTTTTGTTTAAATATTAAATAATTCGGAAAGTTAGAAACATAAATAATTAATATAGCTGAACTTTTACGTATTCTAAGAACATTAATATTAAATCTTAGGGACTTTTGTTTTCATCTCCTACATTCGTTCTCCATTGTATTGTTAAAGTGTTTAGTTTGTATTTCTGATCATTATTTCAGCCTGGTTTTCTCGAATCAAATCATTATTTTTTAATGCCTCTTTTAACTCTTGATGCAATAATTCACGAAAAACTTTGTATTTTTATTTTGTATTTCGGTTTCCCCTTTACAACAACCAATTTTCATTTTATTATTGCGAATCAATTACAGTCTAATAGTAATAATGTCACTTATATTTTCAATTATTTAACAAATATTCTTTATACGATTATTTAATACGGGAAATCGTTACTCTGCTGCGTTATAATTTAATTAATCGTGATGATATAACTAATTTACTGCAATTACGACACTTAGTGTGCATTATCAAACGATTCAAAAGATAATAAACAGATAAAGGGAGTTACAATAATAGATACAATTTACACAATGTATTTAATTAGGCAAATTGAGACACTTTACAATGGAAAATATAACAACACATTTAGAGACAATGGACACATACGCAATGTCCGAGTATACTAGGATTAATTCCTGGTTTAGAAAAAATCCTAGCTCCTCGATCGAGGATCGAACCCAGGACTCCAGTGTGAGAGGCAAGTGTCTTTACCACTCGATCATGAAGCCACAATTTGCAGCCCACTTTGTCAGATTCTATTCTCAAACGAGTGACACTAAAATCTGACTACTAGTGTTTCTTAACTATAACACTGAAATTGGATCTTATCCTCAAAGGAGTGACACTAGCGTCCTATCGGTGTATAGTATCATAATGATGAATTGTAGTATGTGGTGTGAGTGATAACACATGTTATGTGTCGCTGATATATTGTATTTTGTGGAAAAATAGAGAAAAAATGTTTTTAAACAGTTCCGATAATTACATAAAGATGTAACATATTTATTGTGAGTGAATATTTGTTGCAAAAATTGATTATTAACAATATATTTATAAAAACTACAAGAAATATTTAAGTACAAGAATTTCTACCAAATGAATAAAATGATAAGAGATCAAAAGAACGTGGCTGGCGGTACGTCATCACCTAGAGAATCACCAGAAATTCTAACTGAAGAGCTGATTAATAAAATATGTAAAGAAATTGATGCAGAGATAGATAAAGAGTTTGATATTATAACTAAAAGGCTTAATGAAATGAAAGAAACACTAAAAAGAAAATAAGAATAAAAGAGAAAGTAATTCGACTAAAATTGGTCTTATTGAAAAATGTATAGACACAAATGAGCAATATAGCAGATTAAATAATCTAAGAATTTATGGTATCAAGGAGTCGGAAGCAGAAAATCTTGAATTTTTAATTTTGAGCTTATTTAAGAACAAGATGGCTATTGACCTTTCAACTGGAGACATTGATAAATGTTATAGATTGGGTAAATACAAAGAAAATAATTCCCGTCCAATACTATTTCACTTCATTAGTTTTAAAGCAAGATCTGAAGTTTACATCAATAAGAAAAAATAAAAAAAAACTGATTTTGTTATAAGAGAACACCTAACAAAATACAGTCTTGATTTGTTAAAAATGGCAACTAATAAACTTAAACCAAAAAATTTATGGTCCATGAATGGTAAAATGTTTATAATATACAGAAAATAGAAGAGAATTATTAAAAGTATAAAAGACTTACCTGTATAAATTAATCGACTTGGTTGGACTATAATTTTATACGATAAAGAGATTATCTCCTTGCTTGTGTTACAGCTTCTTTTTATGTTTTTTTTCTCTTTCATTTCATTAATGATTCGTTTTTTACATCTTTGCCTCTGTGGCAACTTAAATTTTAAACATTTCTTTTTAAATGAAATAAATTTAATTTAAAAAAAGAGTTAAAATTATCTTAAACTGTTTTATAGTAAAATCATAAACATATGTTCTTTATTTTCGTATTTAATATGGATATGAAAATTACTCTTTATTTTACACACTTTATATTTTATATTATCTCAGCGACCAGATACAAAAGTTTCCAAATTTTCTTTCCACATAATTTTGTTTTCACGAAATAACTTTATGAATGAGTATGATGTCGTAGCTGATAATGATGATAATATAATGCCAAACTTAATTATTTCGCTTTTAAATATAAGATCTCTTTTAAATATGCATGATGAATTAAAAGAATATATTCTGTCCAATTTCTTCGATATATTTTTAGCTTCAGAGACGTGGTTAACTAACAACATTACAGATTTTATGATAAATATCCCTGGATATACAATTTTTAGACAAGATCGAGTAAATGGAAGAGGGGGCAATATATGTTAGAAATACTGCTAATATTACTAATATTAAGATTATTTCACATGGTAGCTTAAATATATAATATTTATGGATTTCTGCTAAAATTAACAACAACAAGGTATGTATTGGTTGTGTGTACCATCTTCCCAATGTAAATTATAAAACTCTACAATTATTGGAAGATATTTTGGCTGATAATTTGATCTCTTCAGATTATGTTTTTTGTTTAGGAGACTTTGTAATTTTTTAAATAGTTTGTGAAATTTAGATTTTTAGATTACATTATGCAGACTTTTAACTTAGAATAAGTTGTGAAAAAGGCATTGCAGAAGGTGAAAGCAGTACACTCATGGACTTAATTTTGATTAATAAATCAAGTATTATAATAAACACGGATACAATTAACTTACCTCAGTTTTCAGATCATCACCTTGTTTACTATTTAATTAACATGCCAACTGTTTATAAAAATAACCCTCAGCTTATATTATCCAGAGATATAAAAAATATTAATTTAGAAGAATTTGATGTTTCCCCTCGCATCATAAATTGGAATTGTTTGCAATATTTTGAGAATATTCATTAAAAAATAGCATCTCTTGAAAGTAAAATAATTACATTGTTTAATATCCATGCACCTCTAAGAAAAATACGCATTACTAAAAAATTCAATCCATGGATTACTTCAAATATAAAACGTATGATGATTATAAGGGACAGGGCATTATCTGATTATAATTTATCACTAAAAAACATTAATGCAACAATTTTACAAACTAATGCAAAATGGGAATTTTACAAAGAAATAAGAAATTTCGTAACTGCGTCAATAAGGCGTAAAAAAAAGCTTATATAGAAAGCATTCTAAATAGAAATTGAAAAAATTCTAGAATATTGTGGAATAGTTTAGATAAATTAAGTTTACATACCAAAATTCGTAATAGTGAAATACCGCCAGAACTACTTAATCTTGATGCTATAAATATTTTTTATTACTTTACAATAACTAGATATCCTGCCAATGTTGACACAATAGAATATTTTAACAATAATAAACACAATAATTTAAATAAAAGCTTAATTTTCAAAATGGTTACTGCTGATGAGGCGCGGAAAACCATATATGATATAAATACTAATGCAAAAGGAGTAGATGGTATTTCAATCGAAATGCTTAAGATGTGTCTTCCATACAGCTGCAACGCGTTAACTCATATAATAAATTTCTCTTTAACATGTAGTATCGCACATGAACGTTGGAAACATGCCCTTATTACACCAATCTCAAAGAAAGAAAAATTTTTTGCATTAAATGAACTTAGACCAATAAGTATACTTCCGGTGATATCTAAAGTTGTACAAAAAATATTGTACAGTCAGCTTAAAAGGTTACTGTATCTATAATGTTGGACTATTCTAAGGCATTTGATGGTATAGATCATTCATTATTATTGGCGAAATTAAATTATCACGGACCTTCAAAACATGCTTTAGATTGGTTCAAAGAATATCTAGAAGGTCGCCTCCATCAGATCCAAATTTCAATTGAGGAAGGCAAAATATTTTCAGATACTACTCAGATAACTGCTAGTATACCGCAAGGTTCTATTCTTGGACTATTCCTTTTTAGTATATATACTACTGATATAGTAAGGGAAATTAAGTCAAAGGTTCATCGTTATGCTGATGATCAACAATTATATTGGTCTTTTGCACACAACGAATATCAGTCAGCGATTTAACAGTTAAATAGGGACTTAGAGAATATTAATAAATAGTCCAATAGAAACGTTCTAGGTTTAAATCCTTCAAAGACAACTGCTATATTAATTGGTCTAGTAAAGCAATGTGAAAAAATACTCCTTTAATATTTTATAATAACTTTAAACATCTTGGGCTTACAATAGATAACAAGTCCCTGTATAAATTTAAATTTTTCATTAGTACAGAAATAAAGTTAAAACTAACTGAATCACTTATTCCATCTCTATTTGATTACTGTGATGTAGTGCACGGACCTCGCTTATGACTTTATGATACTCATAGAATTCAAGTTCTGCAAAATTCCTGTATACGTTTTGCCTATAATGTAAAAAGGAGAGATCACATTATACCTTATTATGAAAAACATTTCTGGAATAAAATGGAAATTAGGAAACACATTACACTTGTGTTGTCCGTAAAATAATTCAAACAAATATGCCGCCTTACCTTAGATCTAAGTTAATTTCTGGCAATGAGATACACAACCGAAATATGAGAAATATCCACAGCACTCTACTTCTTATTGCGAGGGATCTTTTACATATTATTCTTTCTTTATATATGTAATTCCATTCCATTATCATTAAAAAATATTGTTAGTTATAACGTTTTCAAAAAATAAGTTAAGAAATACTTTAGCAAATCTAAGCATAAAAATACTGTTATTACCACCTATCTATCTCGCATTCTTTCATTTTTGTTACTATTTACTACGTTTATTTTAATGTTATTTTTCAGTTACATAGTTATTTTACAACAAATGTATTATTTTAACACTGTAATTTATCCAGGTTGGCCATAAGCAGCTTGTGGCTGAGCCCCGCCTAAATAAAGTCAATTTATTATTATTAATATTATTATTATTTTCGGATTATCCGATGCCGGACAGTCCTCCCGTGGTCTCCGCCGCCTCACGGGAGTCGCACCAGCGCATTAACTACATCCACTCCCCACATCCCGCAGGGTCAGTGACTGTAGATACCAGAATCGTGTGCCCTAAGCAGACGGAGAGACCTCAGAATGACCGCCTTCTGCATTTGGCCTGCCAGCCACTCGGCTAATTTTTTGGCAGGTCGGTATTATTATAAAAAAAATAAAAAAATCTGAATAATAGTGTTTTCTAACTATAACACTGGGGTTGGATTTTATCCTCAAGTGAGTGGCACTAGAATTCAATCGGTGTATAGTGCAACCTAGTAGAAGTAGTAGTAGCTACTTATTTTACTAGGCAAGTAGGCCACAATGGGCCCTTTTTACCTAGGGACCTACAGTTTAGCGTGGACTCCGAACCACGGTCCTCGACTGTCAACTAACCCACCGCCTGGGCCTGCCCGCCTGCACCGCTAGCAGAGTGGCAAACCTCCTGGGTAGGTCTCTTCGACCCTCCACTCGGGCTTGCCTCTCCGCCTGCATCAGGCTAGCGGCCTTCCCGGGATTGTCTGTTGACAGCTTACCGACTGTTAGACGAGCTACCATTGATCCATCCAATTGCCGGACTCGATCAGTGCTGCTTAACTTCACTGATCGAATATCGGAAATTAAACGGATGTCCATACCTCATCCCATAGTACAACCTAAGTTGAGAGCCTGGTATTTCCA